TTTTTGGCCGAACGAGGGATTGAACTCAAGCCCTTGTGCTTGCCAGGGAAGTGCTTATTCCACTAAGCCATCTCCCCAGCCCCTATGAATAGTTTTTTATGCATCTACATTATTTGCCAGCTAACAAGTAAGGCAGATATGCCAATATACGGAATTGATTTGGGAACTAATTGGGCAATATTTAAGATATTTTTATTAAAATGATTCTTGGGGGCTGGGGAGATGGCTCTGTAGAATAAGCACTACCCTGGCAAGCGCACGGGCCTGAGTTCAATCCCTGGTTCCAAAAAAATAAAATAAAATGATTCTTGGGGCTGGGGAGATGGCTCAATAGAATAAGCGCTTCCCTGACAAGTACAGGGGTCTGAGTTCAATCTCTGGTTCCGCAAAAAAATAAGTAAATAAATAATAAATAAATAAAATAAAATGATTCTTGACTCATTGATACATCCTACAGAAAAGCTATTCAGGGGCTGGGGAGATAGCTAAGTAGAAAAAAGGGCCTGAGTTCAATCCCCTGTTCTCCTAAATAAGGTAGCTTATCTCATGGCTTAGAAAAGAGAGTTTACCTTGCCACATTAGAGTTAAATAACTTGCTAGGTGTGGCATAGGCTTTCCCTTAAAATGGTAGTTTAATAGAACAATATGATGTTTAGTAATTTTGTGTCCTTATGTCCTGTAAGAACTAATGACCTAGTTAAAAATTTTAAAACTTTGGTAGAGAGCTTTATCAGTGAAGAAAAACTATTTCCCCCATAGAAGGTAGTGGAACTCTTCATCTGTTTTTAGCTTTTCCTAACATGGACTGGCCTATGAATGCAGCCCTAGGGAAATAAGCGAGGGTACATGTGTTTTTTTCAATCAAATGAAGTAAAATCATCAGTGTAATTTACCGTCCTCATGGGAGAATCAGGAAATTAAATTTCTTAGATTTAGACAATCACCTACTTTACACACACACACACACACACACACACACCCACCCACCCCACTGTTGTTTTGAAGCTAAAATCAGTAAAGTGAGATGATGTACTCAGCTTCATACTTCTTTACCAACAGTGGTTTTTACATCTTTATTGTTTTCTGACTGGCCTGTTCCTAGGCCTAATAGATATGTTTCCTTTTTTTAAAAAAAAATTATTCATTTATTTATTTATTTTGTGGGGGGGGGCCAGCTCAGCCCACCAGGGAGCGGGGCTGGCTGGCATGTGGTGCTGGGGGATCGAACCGTGGTCCCTGTGCTTTGCTAAGCTTGTTCTAAGTAGGTGCTTTAGACCACTGAGCAATCTCACCAGCCCGATATGTTTCCTTTTATGTTACAGTTTTATACTTGGCTTATCCTTTTTTTTTTTTTAATGTATTTGGTACAGGGTCTCACTGCATAGCTCGGACTCATACTGATCCTTCTGTTTTCAGCCTCCCCAGCAGTGGGATTATAGGTGTACCATACCCAGTCTTGGTACATAGCTCAGAGTGCTCAGGGTGGGGGCCATTGTGGTATGTGGTGCCGGAGATTGAACCCGGATCCCTGCACTTGCCTAAATAGGCACTTAGTCCACTGAGCTATCTCACTAGCCCCATACTTGGTTTATTCTTTTTTTTTTTTTTTTTTTCCAGAACCAAGAATTGAACCCAGGCCCTTGAGCTTGCCAGGCAAGCACTTATTCTACTGAGCCATCTCCCCAGCCCACTTGGTTTATTCTTAATTGACCTTTTCTTTCTACAGCTTCTTTCCCTCTGATCTGTTGTTTTAGCCTCGTAAAGGTCACATAAGACTATGAAGTTAGATTTACTATATTTTTCTTTTTCTTTTCTGGGTATGTTTAATTTTTTTTTTCTTTCTGTATTTTAGAGAAGGGTAAACAAAATGTTCAGGGTCTCAGTACTAGGTCGTACTCATAGTGATCTATCTGTTTATAGCCTCCCAAGAGCTGGAATTACAGGCGTGTGCCACCACGCCCAGTCTCCATTGCCTTTCTCAGTGTGTCCCAGGGGCAGGACCAGACAGCAGAGTACTTTTGCATTTCCTATTCCTTTCTTCTAGATCATATTTAGATGAATATTTATCATGCCTTAAAATCTTGCTGGGTGTGGTGGCACATAGCTGTAATCCCAGCACTTGGGAGGCTGATACAGGTAGGTAACTGTGAGTTTGAGGCCGAACTGGCTACATAGTGAGTTCAACACCAGCCTGAACTACCGAGGAAGACCCTGTCTCAAAAAACCATAAAAAAAGTAAAAACTTCATATATCAGGGATTGCCTGATATTGGTGATTTAAACTTAGGCCTTGATGTATTCTTGACTTTGTATTCTTTATTGTAAGTGTAGGACTTTATGCCAGATTCTACCTTTGTTTCCAGTTTGTTCAATACGAGTAATTGGTGAGAGTGACATCATGCAGGAATTCCTGTCGGAATCAGATGAGGTAAGTGAATACCCCCTTTAGTGACTACTTTTCCTCTTTGATCCTTATGGGACAGAAATTATTAAAGATATTGATTATGTATGGATGGCAGTAAACTCTCCAGATGACTATATTTCTTTTACTTTGTTTTTATATGTATCCTGCTTGCTACCCTTTGAGACCACCAGAGCCACCTTCTTTTTGCTGCTCTCTCTGATGATTCAGGTCATGAGTTTTTCATTCCACTAAGAGCATCCACAGCCAGTAACACTCAATTAATCACCTTATGACTATCTCATTCTCTTATTTTTATACATAGTTTGCAGTAGGTTTGTTACTTTGGTTTTTTAGCTTACAAAAGTTTGAGCTAAGTCTTGATCATCTTTATGTTTCCAGTACCCTAGAACAATATCAAGCGTGTTGTAGGTGCTTAATAAATATTAATTAAATATGTTTTGTTTTCTCAACTAGATTATAAGTTTCTTGCAGACAAGGGCTTATAATAAAAGAATAGTAATCCTTCCCTGTCCCTGATTTTGATTTATCTAGTTTCAATTAACCTGTGGTCAACCATGGCCTGAAAATATTAAATGTAACAATCCAGAAATAAGTAATTCATGAGTTTTAAATTGTGTGCCATTCTGAGTAGTGTGATCAAGTCTCATGCTGTCCGTCACAGTTACATTGGGGGTCTGAATTGAGCATACTTACTCTGTATGTCGTCTACTTGTTAGCCACTTAGTAGCTGAATCAGTTGTCATATTGATTGCTCAATGCTTATACTCAACTTTTACTTAGGAATGTTTTTAAGGACAAAAGTAGTGATGCCAGCAATTCGGATATTAGCTCCTTTAGTAGTGTTGCTTCCTTTTAAGTTCAAAAGGTAAAATTTGTCAGCAGTAAGATCATAGGCATGATGGCACATACCTGTAATCCCAGCAGTAGGCAATTTGAGACCAGCCTAGGCAATTTAGCAAGACCCTCTCTCAAAATCAAAAATTATAGAAAAACCATACACAGAAGTTGAGGTTGGTAAGATCTGTGGGAAAAATGGATCACTTTTCTGTGAGAAGAAAAAATAAATTCATGCTAATTTTGCTATCTTGCCTCAGACTACAAAAGCTGCAGCCACAGTGGGTGATAAGTAGTTAGGGAGGATGGAAAGAGCATTAATGACATGATTAGTACCATCCCTGGTTTCTGGCTCCCACTAGGTCTTGGAACATATTCCCAGTGGGTAAAGAGGGACTACTGTGATACTTAGGGTGGTTTTAGGCAATGAGTAATAATTTTTCAAAGTGTTAATGAAAATGGACTTATCCCTAAATAGTTATTTCTCTGTAATAAAAATTATAAGGTCAAAAATCTGTTAGAGAAATGTGTTAAATAAGAGTTTTTATTTTGCTTTGTTCTCATGGTACTGAGGATTGAACCCAGGCCTCATAAAATCTCCACAAGTACTCTGCCGCTGAATCACACCTTTAGCCCTAAATATTTCTTTAAAACTGAATGAGTTGTTTGGTCTTTGCTAGAAGATTGTGTATCATATTAATTCATATCCTTGAACCTCATTCATTTTCCTTTCAAAGATGTCCTGATTATTTCAGGGTTTAGAAAGGAACTTCAGATACCCGTCAGCCAGGCTACAAACCTTAACTATTGAAACCAGAGAGTATTTGCTAGAATTACTGCTTTCAGTTGTTTTCTCATTTGTGAGTTCTGAATGAGGTGATAGAAGTAGTAAACCCAAGATCTCTGTGTTTGACCTAGACTGCTTCGCACAGTTTTCTGTCTTGAAATGTGAACACATTGGCTTCCAATATGTTTCTTTGTTCCCTGTGCATTTAAAGGTTAACTTTTGTCACAGCCTATAGTTAGGTGTATGACTTGTAAATATATTACCTTTTCTTTTTCTTTTTTTTTTTTTTTGGGTGGAACCGGGGATTGAACTCAGGCCCTTGTGCTTGCCAGGCAAACAGTCTACTGAGCCATCTCCCCAGCCCCTGTAAATATATTACCTTTTAAAGCATCTCTTTCCCCCCTTTTTGTTAGAACTAGCTTTCTGTCTATTAACATGTTTGGATTACTGTCTAGCTAGCATGTTTGAAGGAGAGTGGGGAATGTACTGGGTCAAATTCTTTCTCTGTCTTTTCCCCAGAATTACAATGGCGTATCTGATGTAGAACTGAGGGTAGCATTACCAGATGGAACAACAGTTACAGTCAGAGTGAAAAAGAACAGTACTACAGACCAAGTATATCAGGTAAATTAAACTTTTTTTTTTCCTTTCTTTTTTTTTTTTTTTTGTGGAACCAGGGATTGAACTCAGGCCCTTGTGCATGCCAGGCAAGCACTTATTCTACTGAGCCATCTCCCCGGCCCCAGGTAAATTAAACTTGAACAAGTAAATTTCAACTTGGGATGGTACAAAGCTAAGAAAGGAAAATAGAATGCACTAATCAAATCAAGTGCTTATAGTATCTAGCACCTAATACATTTATTTTAAATCGTTACTATTAATATCAAAGCACTTGGTCCTCCTTGAGGACCCTACCTTTTTTATTGTAAAAAATATTAATATACGTGAGTTCAGAATAGTACAGTGACTATCCATATATTTTTTGTGTGTGGGCAGGGCACTAGGGTTTGAACACAAGGCCTTCCATCTGCTAGGCAAGTGCTCTACCTTGGAGCTACGTCTTCAACACTCATCTATTGCATTTAATAAGATTTTGCCACATTTGTGCCATGTATCCTTTTTAAGCTTTTTAAACAAAACCCATCTTAGGAAGACCTATCTATACTTTAGTATGCATCTAAAGCTATCATTGTTCTTCTTAATTACCACAATGCCATTATCAAACCTAAAAAAAATAGCACTATTTTCTTAGTATTAAGTAACAACTACCCATAGTCAAATCTTTCTAATAGTTTAAAAGTAATTTTTTACATTTGGCTTAAAATCTATATCTAAATAAGATTTATATCACATTTTGTTTTTATGTTTATTTTAATATAGAGTAGTTCCTCTTGAGAAACCTCCTCCCCCGCACCTTGGTGCCGTTGCTTTCTTACTAAATTTGGGTCAGTGTCCTGTGAAATGAGTTTGCTTGTTCTTTTGTAGTGTCATTTCATATGTTCTTCTGTCTCTGTCTCTGTATCTATATTTTGTTTTTGTTGTTTTTGAGATAGAGTCTTGCTATATATAGTCCAGGCTGGCCTTGAACTCGTGATGTAACCCAGGCTGGCCTCCAACTTGTGGCTATCCTCCTGCTTCAGCCTCCCAAGTGCTGAGATTACAGGTGTGCATCATCATTCCCAGCTTCTTATATTTTCCATAAATTGAAATTTGCTCTAGAGGCTTGTTCAGATTCACATTCTTTTTTGATATGAGCTTCATTAATAGGTACTGTGTACATAATATTCCTTCTCCACAGGTGGAGCACAATATCTGGTTTCTCTGCTTTTAGTGGCAGCAAGATTAATCAGTAGGTGTGACCTCTCTATAGTAAAGTTTCCTGCTTCTCTTTTACCAACCATTGATAATTAACAAATAATTTCATAAAAGTTGCAGAGTGATGGTTTTCTAATAGTATTTTCTATAAATAACTTTTTCTTATAAACTCAGCTTAGTTATTATGAAACATACTTTGTGGAGAAAAGGATATTTCATTTTCCTTTTATTACCAGTTCTCAGAGTAGAGATTTCCTTTTAGTTGATTCTAATGATGTCCATTGTTGTATTTTACTTTGTAGTATCACATTTTTAAATAAATAATTTTTAATAACTTTATAAAAGTTAAATATTGTTTAATCAGTAGCGTACATTATTGTTTTGATGTTCAAATTCGCATCACTTGACAGTAGATGCTCCATCATATCTGTTCTTGTATACTTTTGATGCAGTCCATTAGTTGATGATAGCATCTTTGCCTTTTGCAGGATGTCTTAGACTCACCTGTGTACAGTTTCTGCCATTGATCTAGAATAAGTTATTGCCTCGAGGAATTCTGATTCCTGTTAATAAGAAATGGTATTTAATACTTTGCACTGGTTTGAACTATCACTGGTATCCCAGTAGGCAGCTTGTGCCACTTATGGCAGTAATAGATCTAATCATTTTTATCAGTCTTTTTACTAATAAAATTAATAAAAAGCCATCTGATGAGACAGCTATACATATACCACCAGTGGCTCAAGCTTCTTCACAGTGAAACATACAAATTACAGCACTATTATGAATATGTCAAAAATCATAATCTGGGTGCTATGTGGCATAGCATTGTTTGTAGGTGGGCCTTTTTCATTTGCCTTCAACCTAATGATCAAGATTTTCAGGCAGGGGCTGGTGGATGGCTCAGTGATCTAAAGCACCTACTTAGAACAAGCTTAGGGGCTGGTGAGATGGCTCAGTGGTCTAAAGCACCGACTTAGAACAAGCTTTGCAAAGCACAGGGACCACGGTTCAATCCCCCAGCACCACATGCCAGCCAGCCCCGCCCCCTGATGGGCTGAGCTGGCCACACACACACACACACACACACACACACACACACACACACAATAAATAAATAAATAAATAAATAAACAAAAAAGAATTGATACCTAGAAACCTTGTTTGCCTGAAAATCTTTTTTTTTTCCATTTTATTTATTTATTTATTTATTTGAGTGTGTGTGTGTGTGTGTGTGTGTGGCCAGCTCAGCCCACCAGGGGGCGGGGCTGGCTGGCATGTGGTGCTGGGGGATTGAACCGCGGTCCCTGGGCTTTGCTAAGCTTGTTCTAAGTAGGTGCTTTAGACCACTGAGCCATCTCACCAGACCTAGGTATCAATTCTTACATTTCCTTTTTTTTTTTTTTTTGGTAGCAAACAAATCTAGCCCTCATACTTTGACAAATACTGTGGCAAGGATATCGTAGGATATGAGACATCTTTAAAATTATACAGTGAAAGCCAGGCAGAATGGTGCAAACCTATAATCCCAGCCTTTAGGAGACAGAAGCAGGAGGATCACTGTGAGTTCAAAGCCATCCTGGGCTACATAAGTGAGATCAAGGACAGCCTACACTACACAGTGAGACTCTTTAAAAAAATGAAATTTTACAGTGACATTATATATTTTTTTCTTTTTTTCTTTTTCTTTTTTTCTTTTTTTTTTTTCAGAACCGGGGATTGAACTGAGGCTCTTGCGCTTGCCAGGGAAGCGCTTATTCCACTGAGCCATCTCCCCGGCCCTCTAGAGTGACATTATAGCTGCAAGAAAAAATAATTTTTACAGCTTGGTGATATTTTTTGTTTTTTATTTTTTCAATGTGTCTTTATCAAGGTATAGGGTCATTGTTGTTGGTTTTTATTTGATTGGTATTTTAATACCTTCTCCCAATCCTTTTTTTTTTTTTTTTTTGGCGGAACTGGTGAATTGAACTCAGGCCCTTGTGCTTGCCAGGGAAGCACTTATTCCCCTGAGCCATCAGTACTGTTATTGAGACTTCTAAGTAGAAGCATTTTCTAAACCTTTTTTATATTTTCTAAAGTTGGTGGCATTTCAGTTTCATTTCAGTTTCAGTATAAAGTGGTAATGGAGAACACTGCAAATGTCCTGCTCCTACATCACATCCACAGTGACCTAGGCTTGATGTGTGAGCAGATGTGGGAAGGATGGAATCATATTTGGTTCATGAGGTACTAATATGCAGAAGTTTTGTATTCTTTAATTAACACTAAGATTGATCTTGGTGTTTTGTTTTGTTTTTTTGTTTTTGTTTTTGTTTTTTTGGTTCCAGCGATCAAACTTGGGACCTTGTACTTGCCAGGCAGGCACTTATGCCGGTAAGCCATCTACTCGGCAGTAGGATTGATTTTGAAAAAGGGATTTTATTACTGTTGTTTTGTTATTGTTATGCAATTTCAATTCTCATATATTTGCACATGGAGTCTTTTTTATTTTTTATGTTAGTACCTTAATTCCTACAGTAGAGAACTGATCCTATTTAATATGTATCTTGTCACATTATTTTGATATTTTCATATGGGTATTGATGATATTAATCTTTAGGAGATGATTGTAATCTGTCATAGATCATCTGAAAACAGAGTATTGGTGGGCCAGCTGTACTCCTATAAACCTGGCTCCTAGAGGGGCTGAGACTAGAGGATCACAGATTTTAGCCCAGCCCTGAAACAAAAAGTATAAAAAGAGTAGGGATGTATGTCAGTGGTAGAACCTAGCTGGGTTCAATTTCCTGTACCTTTAAGAAAAGAAAGCCAAAATAAAGTTAACCTGCAATGTTTCAAGCTGAATAATCCAACTGGCATTGAGATTCACGCCAGTAGTTCTAGCTACTTGGAAGGGGAAGACAGAAGGACCACTTGAGGATGGGAGTAGCCTGGCACAGAGGGACAGAGGGAGTTTCTGTCTTTATTTTTATTTATTTATTTATTTTTGGTGGAACTGGGGATTGAACTCAGGCCCTTGCACTTGCCAGAGAAGCGCTTATTCCACTGAGCCATCTCCCCGGCCCCTATTTTTATTTATTTTTAAAATTTTTTTTGTGGTACCAGGGATCAAACTCAGGACCTTGTACTTGCTCAGGAGGTACTTATACCACTGAGCTATCTCCACAGCCCATTTTTTTTTAAAAAGAAAGAGAATGAAAACTATATGTATTATTCATTGATCTCTCTCCCTTTCCCTCTCCCTCTCCTTTCCTTTTCCCTCTTCTTCTCTCCCTTTCTCTCCCCCTCTCTCTCTCCTCCCTCCCTCCCTTTCTCCTTCCCTCTTTCTTTTGATGTCCTATATAAATGTAGGCTATGTGCAAATGAATATTTAAAAATTTGTTTTCTTTTTTAAGATTTATCTTATTATCACATACTTTCCTTTTAAATGCTATTAAAGAAAAAGCTTTGTAAAGTGCAGTCATATTTCAGAGGAAAGCTGATAATAAAGAGAAACTATTATCAGCTTGTATTTGAAGGGAGAAACTCATACAGATGTGCTGTGTGGGTCAAATGCAAGTGTCCTTTTCCTTTGCTTTCATACAATTATGTGCATGAGTGCATGGACACTGGAGAAAGATAATCATGGGGCAGGGAGTATAGCTCAATAATAGAACACTTAAAATAATAATAATAATAGAACACTTGCCTACCATGTGTAGTGCCCTGGGTTTTAAGCCGTAGCACCAGTGAATGAATGAAAGAATAAATGAGATAATGATGAGTCATGATAGTTCTTATAAAACCAAGATAACAAACCTTTCCCCTCCTCCCTTGCCCTCTCATACATACACCTGTGTTTCCCAACAGCATTGTCTGACTTGGTCTTCTTAAACCATTCTATCCTGTTTGAACTTTAGGCTATTGCAGCAAAGGTTGGCATGGACAGTACAACAGTGAATTACTTTGCCTTATTTGAAGTGATCAATCATTCCTTCGGTAAGTGCTAGAGGCTAATATTGAGTTTGGGGAGTATTTTATTCTGGTCTTGTTGGGCAAAAACTCTTCCTTGAAAAGAGCTTGAAGATGGGGGAAGATCCCACTTAGCAAATCCTGCTACATCTGGTCATAAGTATGCCTGATCATTGTTGATCTTTTTTCCTTTTTTTGTCAGCACCTGTGGGTTACATCCAGCACCAACTCAGATATTTTCATGTGGGACTTCTAAATCATAAGTTCAGAATTTATGTATTTCAGGGAAACAAATGGCTTTAAAAGAGAAGGCCATATAATTTCAGATTATTCCTTCATGTTTTTTGTCAAGATTTTTAAGACTAGTTTTTTGTTTCTAGAAGTTGGAGATACTTTTTTTTTTTTTTTTTGTATTTTTTAGTAGGGTCTACAGGGTCTATAGGATCTTACTACGTAGATCAGACTCGTAGTGATCCACCTGTGTTCAACCTCCCAAAGAGCTAGGATTACAGACACACACCACCAGGTCCAGTTTCAATTGCTATCTCAGTGCGCCCTGCGGGCAGGCCGGCATAGCACAGCACAAAGTGCACGGGGATTGAACCCCAGCTGCTGTGTCTGCCTAAGCAGGCACTTTAATCTGCTGAGCTAAGCTGCCTTAAAGGCAGGTCTGGTGTGGCCTGTGGAGCTGGGGATCGAACCGCGGTCCCCTGTGCCTGACTGAGTTTGCCCAAGCATTCACTTAAACAACCGAGCTAACTTGCGCACCCCCAGAGATAATTTTTTTTTTTTTTTTGCGGAACCGGGGATTGAACTCAGATCCTTGCGTTTGCCAGTCAAGCACTTATCCTACTGAGCCATCTCCCCGGCCCCGAGATACTTTATATTGGTGAAAAGCTTTTGTTTTAATGCATATATTTAAGTTCCTGTGTGAAAATTTCCTCATCCTAGAAAATTTTATTGCATGGTGACAGGAAATTTCTTTTCTATAAAATCTGCAGGTGGTAGTCACATTGGTTGCATCGCAATCATAAATCTGAAGGGATTCTGAGGGCTTGCTCTGATGACATGGGTTTCCTGTAATTTATAGGTCTTTTCCACATCATGTGTATACAAGCCTAAGATCAGAAATGACATAGATAATACTGATTGATTAGATCTTCATCCCAGGAGAAGAGTGTGGCAGGTTGCAGTCATCTTGCAATCCCAGGTCTATGTCTTTTTTTTAGGTCAGAACTGGGGATTGAACTCAGGCCCTTTCATTTGCCAGGGAAATGTTTATTCTACTGAGCCATCTCCCCGGCCCTTTATTATTATTATTATTATTATTATTATTATTATTATTATTCCCAGGTCTAGAGATAGCAACTTTGATTCCCCTGAAGCAATTATTTTCCACATTATATTTTTCTCCCCAACTCTCAACAGCCTACCTAATCAGATATAAATTATGTTAGAAGGGATTGATAGGGGCCAAGGAGATGACTTAGTAGAATAAGCACTTTTCTGGCAAGCACAGGGACCTGAGGTCAGTCCGTGGTTCTACCAAAAGAAAAAACTTTAGAAAGGATTGCTAAGGTATCAGGATACTTAGATTCTAATCTTAGGTCTTAACAATACAAGAAGTTTGTTGAGAATGCCCATAGCTAGGTAAGAGCAGAGACTAATGCTGAAGAGTGGATAGCAGCTATAACTTATCAGATAATGGATCGGGTATTTCAAGCTGAATTTGGAGTTGTTATTGTCTGCAGTCATCATGGTGACTGAAGGACCTACCTTTCAGTGATAGATTTCAAATGTTTGGGCTGAACTGACCTTGGTCATATTTAGAAGGGATAGACTTGCACAAACCTGGGCATTTTGTGGTGCTTGGGCAAGAGCTCCTTGATGACTCTGACCTGTGCTCTATTTAATGATAACCTGCCATATCGGATCTGCCTTGAATAGCTTATATTTTTTTTCCATAAATTTATTGAGAAACAAATAGCAATGAGACAGTTTCAAACCAAACTGGTAGGCTAGTGAGATGGCTCAGTGGTCTAAAGCACCTACTTAGAACAAGCTTAGCAGAGCACAGGGACTGCGGTTCAATCCTCCAGCACCACATGCCAGCCAGCCCCGCCCCCTGGTGGGCTGAGCTGCCCCCCCCCACATAAATAAATAAAATTTAAAAAAAACTGGTAGGACAGTTTCAATAATTAACACATTGTATACATTCTTCCTAGAGGTTAATTGCTGTACAAGATGCAGACATGATATCCTACTTACATACACCATTAGAACAAATCCCTCTATTCATTAAGAGAATGTAACTGTGTATCGATCCTAGCCATTTGAATACACAGATACAAAATGGACA